GTCCTGATACGTAAAACCATAGAACTCAAGGAGGGTGTACTTTCTTTTTCACACAACTGTAAGTTCTAGGCAGGGCTTTAGATAGATGGGAATTCACGAATGAAACCACATGTTCTCCAGGGGTTTCTGATCCACCTCTTTGAAGGAGGTCATCAGCAGAAGGGAGTCAGCAAATGGCTTTTCATACAACCCTGTAAAATTCAGGGTGGATTGATCTATCAATGGTGATTACTCTTGATTATAAAGGCACTTATAATGGGAGATGATAATTACCACCTCATATCCTAATTTTGGAGCTTCCCATTATGGAGAAGCTGCAACCACCCAGCATACTAAGCTATAGGTTGCTCAACCATGATCTGGTGACAGACGCATTGGAGAATTCATGCCTCATATTAAGCCCTATTTACAGACTAAATTGACTGAGTTCACACTACATGTTAAGTCAACACTACACAAATTGGGTTATGACTTTGTATGATATATGACCCCGTAAGAAAAGTGGACTGGAGATACTTTTTGTTTGATCCAGCAGAGTTATTCTCATCTCCTTATGTGGAAAAAGTAACATGAGCCACGGTAAGTCTGCATACTGTTTGCACACTTGCCTATCCATGATTTATGGAACAATAAAAATGACATGCTAAGCCATAAACAATGGCATGCAAACTACAGTGGAGTCCACCCAACACACTAAGCCCAACCAAGCGAACTATATTATGGCTTACTGTAGTGTATGAATCCAGTCAACTTTCACCCCAATTAAAGCATTGCTCCACTTTATCTCTGTATCTTCACTAGGTTCCCAAAAAGATTTCTGTACATGAATTGGAACTTACTTAGATTTTTAGATCTATTGCTATCCCACCCTTCATTCAAAACAGTGTCATAGGGTGGGCCATAATCTTCATGTTCGGTGCTGCTGAACCACATACTGTTAACACTACAAGTTTCATAGCTAGCCCAGACCAATTACTTATTGTGAGGATAAGAGACTGAAAATATAATCCCCAAGAATCCTTCTATTTCATTTATAATGGGAATCATGCAAAACCTTAATGAGGGCCAATGGAACTGGCACAAAGTTAAATTTTCAGCAAAAGTTCATTCTTCTCGTGCACAACAGGAGAACGTTGCTAACTCTAGGGGAAAGAGACATTCCCAAAAGCACCTTACAATCTTAATCAGTGTGGATGCCTGTGATAAAAATACTTCAATCTTTTACTCTACTGGTAAATAGCTATTCTAACAGGTGTTTTACCTGGGGAAATGCAGAAAAGCTATCACCAAAGAAAAAAAGCAGATGTGTCACCAAGAGAGAGAAACAGAACACTGAGCTACACAAAACTTGCTTGTGCTAATGTGTGTGTACAGGTGCAAATTAAGAGGAGGGTACCGTAATTTAAAGAGAGAATCTTTCTCACTCTTGTGGGGAAGATTGATCAGTTGCACACCAACCTTTTCAGTTTACTCTTGATAAACAACTTTGACTTCTCTGATGTACCCAGGCTATTGTAGAAAATAGGGATGAGAAGACAAGTTGTTGTTGTTTTTTTTAAGAACAAAAGCCAAATAAACCTTTACTCTTCTTGGCTGTCCTGCTCCAAGTTAAAGTCTCTTTCAAGTTGAACTTGACTCCTGATCACTCATGGATTCATCCATGCATTTTTCTTGGCAATAGTGCAATTTTGGTTTGCCTCTGTCTTCTTAGATGTTTCAAACTATCTAGTCTCGCCTATGGTCTTGGTACTACCTGGAAATCTTCTATCCAAGTGGCATGACCCAATTTAGCTTTCCTGCCCAAAGCCAGCTTCATGCTAGTTACCTCCTCTCGGTGCCCCAACACAATAGATCATTTAGGCGTCACTCTGTAAAAAGTTATTTTGTCTAGAGAGATTACACACACACTGATCTTTGGCTTTAATTTCAGAGACTGTAAAACCTCTACCTTATGAGCTTGTCTTGAGAGTGTATTTCTACCCATCCCAAATCTGACATCCAAAATGGGCACATGTTCACAATAGGACTTTGTTTTCACACAACATATAAGCTTATTATGCACAAATACCAGGGCACAGCTTAAATAGAAAACGCTCTTTCATGATACGTATAGCTGGTAGGGTAGCTAAGCATTTTAAGCACTAGATCATTTCACAATAGCCTTTCCTAGCCCGGAGCCCCCAGGTGTGTTGGACTACAACTCATGGCAGTGGGGGATGATGGGAGCAGTAGACTACACATCCATAGTGAAACACTTTAGGAAAGATTTTTGGGGGAAGAATTAGTAAGAAAATTGGCATGGAAAGAATTAGTGGAAACTGTATCAGAAAAACAGATCCCATGGCCTTCTGTCCAGCAAATCATACATTAAGTAAATATTTTCTTTGGCTCACAGTTAGATTGAGCTGCATATGATTTTAAAAGATACAAGCACACACATTTTTTTCCATTTGTGAAGAATGCAGATAAATTCAGAGGAATGAAGACAATGTTGGCTTCTTATTCCCTGAAGGTATCATTGTCGCTGAAAGATATCTCAAGAAACCTGGAAAGGTGCTCAGATAGACATGGAAAAAAGTGGTTTCCTTATATTTTGCTTCTGTACCTGATACTAAGTATGGAAAGATTGGGGGGTATCACAATCTCAAAACCTCTTTTTGCTCATGTCACAAAATGAAAGATATTAGTACAATTATTTTTGAACTATCTTAAGAGCAAAAAAAAGACTTCAATATATCAGAAAGACAATAATCATTTAAAATATGAGTTTGCAATTGTGTTCACACAAATTAGCAGAAGTATCTCTACAATATGCTAAGCTTGATTAGCATTAATATTAATTAACTTGTGTGCATATCTGTGTTCTGTGAACCCAGGCCATATCCAGTTAAGATTCAGTGTATTGTGCCAGCCCAAAAAATAAGTTATTTCACTAACCTGGTTCATTGTGTTCTATGAATGCGGCATTAATCAAGCAATGATAGATATTATTAAACTTTGGATTTCCACAAGTCAGCTTTAAAAATGGCCTGAGTAGACATCAGTGCAAAACTACAAACATAGATTCTAAGCATTTTGAGACAGCGAGTTTCAGTAGAAACTGGAAAAAGGAAATTTGATTAGAAAGCAATTGTTAAAGAGATGATTTTCCCTCTCCCTGTCCATTACATTCAACAATTCTGCTTCTGCTGTGCATGTGGTTTTCAAGCAACCCACATTTCTCTTTCCAAGAGAATTGTCAAACAACGTGGAATGCAGAGTGTGTTGGAATAACAGTATCTTGTATTAATTTGTATCTTGTGACTGTGTTGGCTTTCAGTCATTTGCATCTAGACTTCTTCATTAAGCCATTCATAGTTTTTCCAAACATTCAGATTGAGAACTGGAAATATATTCTTCCATAACCTCATTCTTACAGTCCATAAAAACATAAACTACTGACAAGTTGTGTAAGAAAAAGAATATTTATAATTGTTGAGATAGTTGTAGTAACTAGATCAAAGCATTGTGGAAATTCTTGCTAAATGCAAGGCACCATCTTGTTAGGCCCAAATTTATGAAAAATGTATCCCTGAGTATGAGATCAGTTTATTTAGGTGCATTTACATCTTCACCTTAAGAGTTATGCCATTTTTAAAAGAGATTTTTACATAAAGAGCTATGCCATTTTTTAAAGAGTACAGCATTCTCTCTCTCTCTCTCTCTCTCTCATCTATCTACACACACACAAATCCCAGTCTGATGCATTTACAGAAGATAACACACAGTAAAATGCATTTCTTGCCAGTTTGGAAATACCAGAAAATTCTCCTAGTTTGAATATCATTAAGTCAGCCTCAAGAACAAGGGGGCTACTTTGCATCTAACATCAAATTATTAAAAACAAGAACAACTACCCCAAACTAGGTATGGTGGGAATTTTGCTGCAGGTTCATATAAGCAAAGGTAATAAGAGAGAGAAACATTACCTGTTTCCATATTGGCTCATGAATTCTCCACTGTAACTTTTTGACTCTTCACACTGATGGAGGAATAATTGTTCCAGCTGCCGAGATTGTTAAAAAAAAATAAGAGGGAGGAGGAAGAAATCCTCAGCTGAGATCTTCTAGAGAAAGCTATTCTCTGCGCCCCAGCTGGATTCTTGCCTGCCAGCCCAATCTTCTATCTCTTGCCAAGTTTGCTGATTTTGCCTTTCAATTTATTGTTCCTTTTGCAACCACTAAGACCACACAGCTGCGAACAGGGGATGGCAAATAATAATCAGATAGATAGAGAGAGAGAGAGAGAGAGAGACAGAGGGCTTTGATGACCATCTTTAGGGAAACAAAATGATACCTAGAAAGGTGTTTGGGACATACGGCTTCTCTGCTTAAAATCCTGACTTTTTTCTTCTTCTTATGAAACCACCAGTCCAAGACACTGCTCCAAGAGCAGGAGAAACTAAAATGTCTGAATTTATTAGCCGCCATAGTTACGTAAATGATTCTACGCGGGAGGTAACTTGCAAGTCCTCGTTTTCGTGTTCGCATTTCCCATTCCATCAAAGGACAAAGCTTGAAATCAAAACAAAGAATGAAAGGAAACTCTTCTTTCTTTCTTTCTTTCTTTCTTTCTTTCTTTCTTTCTTTCTTTCTTTCTTTCTTTCTTTCTTTCTTCTCCTAGGACTTCTGATGTTCTACCTACTGCATTTGCCTCTGGGGATGGTATACTATGAGAATTAATGGCTACAGGCAAATCAGTGTCAAAACTCAGAATGGAAATGGAAACTGGTTCAAATGCAATCGCGTTCTTGTATTTTTCCCATCTCATAAAAAATAGAGAAAATAATTAACAACTTTTTTTAATGCAACAACCTAGCTGATAATGATGGCAAACAATATGGTTTTTTTCCCATACTCATTGAAGAGACATGGAAGAAGGATCTAACAATGGGTGACCTTCATGAGAAACCTACTTTTTCTAAATGGTTTGGATCATCTATATATAGTAAGCTATAGAAAATAGAAAGGTTGGTTGGTAACTACTAGTTAATATCCTTTAATTACAAGTAATATACTATTGCATATACAGTTTCTCGCTAAGTACACTATTTTGTTTATGTACAAATAATTAGAACTGTGTATTGTGTATATATATGTGTGTGTGTGTGTGTGTGTGTGTATATATATATATATACACACACACACACACACACACACACATATATATACACATACATACATACATATGTATATATGAATATAGATAGACCAGAGTTTGCCAGGTAATCTTCATGTTATTTCATTTTAAAACCAAAATTGACTAAAGTCAGGACTAAAATTGTATTAAAAAAGTAATGTTCTCCTAACAAAAGCCATGCATCTTCCATTTCAGTGCAAAATGAAGACTTTCATTAATTCATTAATTCATTTTTTTTAAGACTGGAAGATGAAAACAAATATCCAGAATGACTTAATCGATAGCAATGGGTGTTCCAAACTGGAATCAATAAAAAGATTTGGAAGGAGGGTATTTTTTGATTCATTTGTCTGTCTTAAACTAAGTTGACTAGATTTAAGTGGAAAGAAAGCATGAAATGCAAAAATTTTTTAAAAAACAACAAAAACAAAATACTTGGTTGCAGTATTGATCTGCTGCCACATTTCAGTTGGAGGGCCCCCTCCCTGAACCCCTTTTAACTCTTGTGGATTCAACGGGGGAGTAAACCCCTGCTTTTTAATTTGAAGTAATGCTACTCCAGATAGTTAGCTCTTTATATGCAGAGGGTGGGCAGAGTGAAATAGACATAGATAGATAGATAGATAGATAGATAGATAGATAGATAGATAGATAGATAGATAGATAGATAGATAGAT